AATATGTATCCTCAATTATGCAAAATGTGAAAAAATGTTTAAACAAAGATTGCTAAATTTAACTGATGTATAAAAATGCAAAAGCTACGAAATTGTAATCAGTTTAACCGACATCTTTAAAGAGGCCTCATGGGTATTCGTAGAAATACCCTCTTTGTGGAACATTCACATGTTGAAGCAAGCACAACAACTGATATATTAAAATTCTCATAAGCTGCTAATTATAATAAGCAAATATAATAATAAAATTTAATAATTTTATATATATATATATGAACCCACACATATATATATGTATATGTATGATAACCTTTTTATTTAAAAATTTAATAATTGTTTTTAAATAAAACTAACACAAAAGGAATCCTTTATGAGCTGGACTTCCTTGCTACATAGCACTTCACTCAGAGATATATACACAAAAGTTCAAGAGAAATGTCTTTTTGAGTATCACTTTTATGTATATAACTATTACGGAAGCTTTGCTGTAAGTATTTTGCGAAAGATATCCTAATCGAAATATATGCCCAAACTTTATAAACGTTTACGCCTTGCTAAGGGGTAAGTTGACAAGTTACTGTTCTTTATATTCAAGTAATTTTATTTTGAAATAAAATGTTTTGCACTTAGTTAAATTTAATAGATGATTTTTTATTAAGGATTTAAATTAGAATTTTTATGAAGATTTATGTTTCAAATGTACTTGTATATAGAAATCATGCCAATCCATATCTGAAAAATGTAAGTATTTATTTTTTGTAAATCAATACAAATCTTCAGTGACGTCGTTTATTCCTATCAATACCATTAAGAAGTATACAAAATCGATTAATTGAGTTGATTGAACGAATATTGGCATTATTGAAATTTGTTTAGTGAATTGTATATGATTTGAATAAATATTAAAAACATTTTCTAATGTACATTCTGACTATCCATTAATTGTAAATAACATTTTTCAATTATTTTTCTAACCACTAAAATGAGGGAATCATACGTTTTATGTTTTCTGTTTTTGGTTAAAAAGAGCTTTGGTGTATCAAATTCCTTTGATGCTATTCAAATTTGCATTATCGCAGTCAATATACTATGAAAATTATGTCCTTCACAAACCTGTATTAGATGTGTCCAAACTTGCATATTAAAATCGTATCTATATTTCAAGTAAAAGAAATACATAATTATGAACGCAGATGTAAAAATGAGTAAAAAAGATCATGTAAGCTCAAAATTACATATACCAGAGCTAGATCGCTGAATCGGTTTTACACTGTTACCTCCATGTTTTCAGTGTAAGTAATTATAAACATCAGTAAAATGAAGGTAATGTTCACAGAATTCTCGAATCAATTGAAACCGAAACACTTCAGAAGATTTTACGATTTCATAAAGCTTCCAAAGAGTTCCCCCATAAATATTACGTTTATATTGTTGTGCATATTGCATTCAACATTATTTAGTAGATTCAAGAGTTAAATTAAAAAAATTTTAATACAGAGAATGGTTACCATTTACATTAGTTTGGTCCAAAATGTTTAAACATAATAAGCAATTTCATGAAATGCATTCCCGATTTTGTGCCCATACCTATTCAAACTATGTACACCGTTTTTACTTTCAATTTTTAACTTTTGTAGCTTGACTTTATTATCAAATGCATTGAGATTTATTGACTCAAATATTTAATCGTAATGCCTCTTAACAGCATTTTTCACTTCACTTCATTTCTCCATGTATCGAATTAGACTCCAATGCATATCACTCTTCTATCTACCTAATCCTCCACCTTAACCATGTTATAAAAACAAAACTGCATTTGCATATAAGGCACCCAAAGTAATTTATAGTGAGACCAACAATTACATGCATCTCTGAGACAGATTTTGAACAATTGTACTGTCCAAATTTCAGAATATTTAGATGTGTTGTCCTCCTATACAGAAACGAGTGTCGAGTAAAGAACTAAAATTATATTTTGTTTTAACTACGGTAAAATTCTTTTAGAAGCATTTCATTAGATGTACCATGTTTATGGTGGCGTTATGTTGATTCTTGAGACAGAGTTCATGACTAGTAGATGGGGCTTAAAAACTATCAAGACTATGTAAATGATGAGCAACACGTTGACCAGCTGATATCCATAGACACCGCAGACTTATAAAAATTTTAATCAAAGATTTGCAGAAATCTTCAATAAATTTAATGAAAATAGAATTGGACATCCAATAATTAATATGCTCGCTTGCATATAAAACTATCGAAGAGTGTACCTACGGCAACCAAAAATTGACCTCACTGATCGACAAAATTTCTTTTTTGCTAAAATTTCCATTGAGACAGACTATCATTCAATTTGGGGACGTATGATTTTTATCACTTCTTATAAACACATATACTTGTAAGAGAAAAGTAGTTTTGTGGCCGTATAAGCTATCTAAAATCTTTATATCATTATTAATAATTAGTAGCTACGGTATATATCACAGATAGGATTAAAAAAAGAGAAAACTTTAGAAAGTTTACCAGAAGGTACAGCATTGTATCAGTAAATCAAAATAACGTATGAAATAATCTGCATCGTTTAAAACTAAATCGCCACTGTTTTAATTCTAATAATGAATAAAAGGTATTTCCGAATTTTTAATCATGAGATTAAATATGCAACCCAATTAAACTGAACTGAAAGAAATACTTTAAAACAATTGGCTTTGCTAAAAATATATATCCCTTGCTAAGAACTCAAAAATGCTGTAGTATAAAGCAATATGTATATACACTGTATATAAATGTATATAATCAATGACAATACTATTGATCCTACGATCTAAAAAATTTCTTTATAATATGTTATAATATACATAATTCCATACAGTACTTATCAAAAATGCTGTAGTATAAAGCAATATGTATATACACTGTATATAAATGTATATAATCAATGACAATACTATCGATCCTACGATCTAAAAAATTTCTTAATAATATGTTATAATATACATAATTCCATACAGTACTTATCAAGGCAATACTTTGATCTTTGAAAAATATAAATAAACTATGAATTTGTTTTTCAAAACTTGACTGAACTGTCATTAGAACTATTTCCATTATATCTTAAAGATTATTTGAGTTGCAAGGCCACCACTAAATATCTAAGCGTCGCTGTTTATATTTTAGATCGGCAGATCTACTTAGAAGCACTGAAAAAAAAAAAATTGAGCAATGATATTATTTCTAAAAAATTAAGAGCAAGTATTATATCTGTTCAGATGTGAAATCAGTAACGCAAAAAATCAAATCAACTACTCACATGAATATTTCAAATGTTATCAACAATCTATAGTTCCCAGATAGCAGCAATGCAAACAGTTGGATACGCAAAAAGTTTCAATATTTGTAGTGCTTGCGTTATAATGCTAATACCCATTAGGAGAAATTCCATAAAAATAGAGGAGGTGTTTTAGTCCGTATACTACACAGTAATAGTCAGAAACACCACTCCGGTGACGATCGCTTTGATGGTGGTATAAAGCATTCCATCTTCTCACCTACAACAATGCTAATACCCATCAGTAAGTAATATGTATAATACATCTTGTACTTAGTTAGGTAATGCCAAAACAATATCGTTTAAAAATAATATAAAGAGTAAATAAAATTTTAGATTTTTTAAAAATATCCTAAAAAAATAGCTTCCTAGTTCCAACAAGCAATTTTCGAATAAAAACCTGATCGCTGGAATAGTGAAAGAAGTGCCGTTCATTTCATGATTATTTTGTTGTATATAAAGGCCCACTGGTTCTAACAAGCTATATTTAATTATATACCATAAATATATGATAGTGAGATAAATGACAGCAGCTTCTTTATAAAAATTCTGCATATGGAAGCTACTACTAATTCCAACCAGAAATATTAAATAATAGCCCTGATATTTTAAACAGTAATACAAGTGACGTTCCAATTTAATATTTTAACATTTGAAGACCTATTAAGTTGTACATAATACTTTGTGCTAATGTAAAGAATTGAAGATAATCGCATATTACCTTCAATATTATTTTAAATAAGTATGGTAAATAAGTTTAAAGATCCTGACTTTACAGATGAATTCTCAAAATGAACACGAACTAATAGAAGGGATTTTAATTGGTTTATGTACTATATATAGCAAATTGAAAAAAAAATGTGAGAGGTAATAGCTCAAAGGTTCTTATTTGGTGCACTTTAGCCTTAATGTATACCCCTTTGTAAAATACTAATATTCATTACAACGTAGCCTTACCTTGGTTTATACATTTCTCAAATATGTTGGAATTTCCTTAACAATACATTAGTTTGTGGCCTGTTATGTTTTTATACGTACTCTTCACACTAACGACAAAATAATACTATAAATTTGATTCCGCCATGCAATAATATACGTAAAAAAAAATTCAAAGTAACTCGAGAAATCGACTAGGCAACATATAACGCTGTCCGTCTGTCCATCTGTTCAATTCAATTCGAGAAAGGAGATATTATTTAAATAAATGAAATTGATACTCCGACTTTGTGTGAACGGATTTTGAGTTTATATATTGTATCTGCTCATGAGTTAAGTAATTTACTAGACTAAACAATCAAATGCATGTACAAAACAAAAACTATTAATACCGGATTAAGGAGTTATAAGTTTTTAAATAGGAAAGAAGATTGGACCGCTCGTTTGAGTCTTGAATAGTATTTCTTTTATTAGTTAAAACAGCATTTATTGTTAATATATCTATATATCTATGCCGTTTAAATTTATGTTAATAGAAAATTATTTGGAAATATTTAACTTTATTTGTGTCATTACCATGTGTGTGAAGGGTATCACAGCTAGGCAAAGCCAAAGCTAATTTTTTTGTGTTTTTCATTTCGTTTATTTGGAACAAAATTTAAATAGTTGTTTTATAATTGTTATGTCGTGTAATATATATCTTTGTCACATTAAAAATATGTTATAAACAATGTAGTGCGCTCAAGGACGAGCAGCTTGGCTGGAACGTGGCCGTCGTTGCAGCGTGCAGGAAAGTCAACAACAGGCTGCTAGTTGCCACCGTCGCTGGGTGAAACGAAATCGCGTGAGTATATCTAGAGAGTTGTTTAATAATTACTTTTAGTGGTTTATTTTAAATGAACTTTAATTGCACAGATTCAGGACGTTTCTGTTGGTGGCTCTTCAGATGACGAAGACTTTTTGGGTGTATTAAGAGGTCCTAGCACTTTTGCTAATGCTTTTTTATATATGGGCTTAGGTACGATTGCTTTAGGTTTAGTTATAGCCTTTGTTGGTACTGGAGAAAAGGGCTTTAAAACGGTAGAACTAAGGTTTATTGGACCATCATTAATTGGTAAGTTAAAACAATACATCTCTATGATTTTGATTACGGTTGAGTTGCCATTAGACTTGTTCTTATTTGAATTGGCAATTTAATATGTATATAACATTTACGTTAAATGTACCCTAAAATGTTTCTCTTCACATTGGAAATACTTTAATTTAATATAATATATCGGCGCAATTGGAAATATAACGTTTGATAGTAACTAAAATATTTTTCTGTAGCAGCCCAGCGGTTACCTTTAAAGGAAGTAAATGTTTGACACAACCCAACTATTATGCCTAACATACTTCTCTTTTCATCTTTTTGCTTTGCTTAATAAAATGCGAGTTATAGTGTCTAAAGCACTCTTACCCAATAGTGTCTGCAATCCCTGGGTGAACAACTGTAATAAGAGCTTCATTCAGTTTTTATAATAAGCTATAGAGGTTAATTTACAGAAGTATAATATGAAGCTCAGCATATATCTTCCTGACGGAATATATATTGTATTCGATATAAGAGAGTACCTATAATTCGGAATTGATGTATGCATCAACAAACTCTGTCTTTGATGTACTTTTGTATACTCTACTCTCAAGATTTTGTGTATATTTTTAATTCTGATAACATATACCATGAAGTTTTTAGCATACCTACGTCTAAATACAATATTTTGACAAGTTTTTTAATGGAAGCCAGTACGACAGCGGCGTCATAAGGAACACAACAGTAAAGGAGTTCAGATCACTCTCAACCTTTCTTATAGTAATGGCAATCATTAACTATATTTAGCGGGATATTTGTAATAGCACATCGGCCGACAAGTGGCCCCACTGAAGTAAAAAATTAGCCGAAATAGACCACGCAATGACTTGGGTCCTTTTTCGTCTTTCGATTATCGAATGTCGTTATTGAGTTAAAGCTAGAGTGGCTTCCGTTCGCATAACTACATCGCTTGTAATGCAAGTAGCTCATTTTGCTTCAGGTTGTCTGTCAAGTCATCACCAAGCCAATAGTGTCCCAAGACAGTCATCCTCCTGATTGACAGTGCTGGACATTGGCACAATATATGCACCGCTGTCTCCTTTCCTTCTAGACATAGTCTGCAAGTGTCTTCATCAACAAGAGTTATATCTTTGAGGTGTTACTTGAAGTTTCTATGTCCACAGTAATCAATGAGGTCAGCCGGTTTAGGCTGATCCATGGACAGTTCACCATTTTTATCGCTTCTCTGGTCAATGGTTTTGGCATCATAAACTTAGTCTGTCTACAAGTGCTCATCTCTCTCCATCTGTTAGGTTAGGTTAGGTTATACCGGTGATCCCTAGTGGATCCACTTAGGTCTATTGGCCCATTGTGATGCCGTATATAAATAATAAAAAACCTCAGGGTTTAAAACCACCTAGAACCTTTTGCGAAGCATAAAATACTATTTAAAGCCCGGTCCTGTAACTGGTCCAGGTCCTCAAGGAAGGGGGCTCCTAGAGTACTAAATCGCCGACGTGCATGAGCTGGACAAAAACACAAAAGATGAGATGCGCTCTCATCGTCCTCCCCACAGCTACGACAGATTTGGTTGAAAGGAAGACCTAGTCTTCTAGCATGGTTCCCTAGTTTACAGTGTCCTGTAGTCAACCCTACCAGAAGACCAATGGCATTCTGGGCTCTGGGCCGCAGAAGTTATGTCTTGATACTTTCCTAGATATGGCAATAGTTTAATAATATTAAAAGATAAAGATTAATCAAACTTTATCTTCAAACCATAAATATGCTTTCTTAAAAATTGAATGCTTTCAACTTATTGCTTTGCTTGACATCAAGGTCTTTTAATTGGATCTAAGCTACAAATTAAAGTACTACCAGGTAAAAGAGAAGAACATCGAGAGGATACTTAGCGAATTTCTTATTTTCAAAAATAAGCACAAGTGTAGTCGCTAAAAATAGATGATAATATGGGTTTAAAAAAATTAATACAGATATTTAAATGACAAAAAATTTTGTTTTGAATGAGCCGTAAAATGGATTAAGAGTAACCGGAGAAGGAAATATGTGAAAGTTAAGGTTTTATTTTTAGTTGTCACTGAACATATAAATGGAGGAGTTTTATACTAATATCTTTATTTGAGGTGCAAATATGTTAAGCAGATGTGCTTCTGATATCTTAAGCTCACCCCTGACATGTGTAATGAAATAATATTTAAATATTATGACAATATTATGTAATGAAGTGTAAACTCGGAGTTTACCATAATTCTTATAACTTTAAAATTTTAAAATCAGTTTTTAGTTTTTATGTTTCTCACATGGTATAACGGTCCTTAAAAGGTCATACCCTATAGCGTGAATGTCTTCTAAGCGTATCATTATTCAGTCCCTCTCTCTGTCATCTGCGTAGTCGTCCTCTTGCATTGCTTCTAAAAAGTTTTAGGAAAGCATTTAAATCTGCGGTTAGTCTTCAGCATTTGTTTACATGTAAATTATGTAAATACTTCATTCATGAACTGATAAATCAACGGACTCATTGTTACTGTTGTTGTCTCATAATTTTCTCTGATATAGTCAGTATTAATCGTATTATTTAACGGTGTACATCTTGCCGTATATATGTTATTGTATTTTTGTTATCTATGGAACCCACAGTCGTACTCGTACTGCACTTCATCTCTTCCGTAATAATGTTGATATGCTCAAAACAAATTTGGTAAATTTTTTTATGTCACACATATGTGACACCTAGTGATATACTTAACCCTTTATATATGGGGTATATAACGGCTTTATTTTTTTCTACAAATAGTCTGACTATGCGATTGCTGCGTGCACTATGTTGTCATGGTTCGATTCATTATTCTTGTTTTAAAGAAGTTTTTGAAAATGTGGTTTGCAAGAGTTACTCACGCAGCTGTCTTCAAAATATTGAATTCGATTTAATTCTTCGGACTAGTGCTGGGTATAACTTATTCATTAAGCTGAATTAGTTAAATCTATAATTTTTTTCCAATGAACTGATAGATTCACCCGATTTATAAAATTTCTATGAGAGCATCAAGCGGAGATCAATGTGTATCGATAATAATTACTTATCGCTTGTTAGTCAATCTTCTGATTGATATATGCGAAAAGGGTGTGTTTCTATGGCCAATTTGTTGCATTCTTAGACAGTTGAAGAGTTTTGCCCTTAGTATACGATGAGCCAATCGAATTTGAACTGCCTATATTCTAAAGATAACATTTTAATAACCATTTCGAAAACTAACAGAAAGCTACAGCATCAACTTTGGTTACTGTTGCCTATCAGTACATACTATCAAACATAAAAGTTGTGTATTTAATAGAACAAATTATATATAATCTATTTTTATTTATCTACTTTAACAGGTCTTGGACTCGTTTGTTGTATATTACGCATTCTTTTTTGTATATGTCCTTCTCATTGTATATCATCAAGTAAGCAAACAAGAAAGAAAAACGGTAATAAAGTGGACGTTGATCATACAACTTCGCTATTGCATGGAGAGAGTAAAAGAGTATCTATAGCTAGAGGACCAGCAATTCAGGTAAGAATATCGATTAAATACTATGTTGGCAAATTTAAAAATTTATTTTCTTCAATTGAAATTGTTCTCAAATTCTATATTGTAAACTTAGTAGTAGAATTTCAGAAACTTTTAATTATAAAACAAAATGATATTGTTTTTAAATTATATACATATTTATATATAAGTATTGATATATATACTTATCTAAACTTGATTTTTAAAAATACTTGAGTGATTTGAATACTACTTGGGTGTTTGAAATCAATTCTTAAGTGTAGTTTATAATACATATATTGTAGAAATCATAAAATATAAGCATACAAGTATACATAGAAAGAATTAGAAGTCATTGACATCAAAATAGAGTAATGGAGCACTGGAAGTAATATATTCTAGAATCGAAATGATATTTTTAAACTTGATAAAATTAGGAAAAATGATCACATCGCTCATTAAACAATTTTATTGGTACTAGAGTCTCGTAAATATGGAATGTTCCACACTAAACTTTTTGCTGTAGACCTTTATATATAGTACATGCATATATATATACATATTATTATTATACATATTCTTCATTTCATCTGATTTTTATATAAAAGAACTGCAACGTAAAGATTGATAAACAAAAATACTTGCTATAGGTGTACGACAATTAAATGACCGTGTTTATCTTGTATTAAAGTTAGTACTACGTTTCAATCCATTAAAATTCAAATGATATTTAACTGAACAATACATACTATTTAAGTCTGTCCTTATTACACCACACCTACACTATACGTCTAAATGTCAGAAGGTTAATATGAATTGATTAGAAATTTTCTGAAAGAGGTAGAAAGTATTACTAACAGGAACACATTGATCTCGTCATACAGCAACATTTTTTATAACAAATTTTGGTTACCACTTGAATAATAGATAGTTTTTGGTTTAAAGATTTTTCATTCTTGTTTTATTGATTTCGTCAAATGGTAACTTCACTCTTAACTCTCACGTTGCTTTGGTCTTTTACGGTAAAATTGAATCTTTACTGAGGTAATTTTATTTTTTTTTATAAAAGAATAAGATTTTAAGCACATTATTATATATTCATATAACTCATTCATACTACTCTATATTCGGAACACAACCATATTAAAACTAACTATTGAATTCTTAGTTAAAATATCCAATAGCACACAAACGAAGCAATAGTAGAATGCTCAACGAAGGAATGGAAGCTCTTCGACAAATTGCCACTACATCGCTTTTTATGCAAAATGAGCAAAAACATGACTTAAATCGAGTAGTACCCATCATCAATGAGCCTATTTCGTCAGCTGGTATGATATATCTATATATATATAATTTCTGGACAAAAGACTACTTCTCAAAAATTTTGTGTTTACAGATGCTCCATTAGAGATGAAAAAACTTGATACTGTTATTAATGAGATGAGTGACGATGAAGAACTTAAATACAAAAATATCAAAGAAGTAACTGCAATCAATATTATATCAGAGCAAACAGAAGATACTTTTAATGCGAACACATCCTCCGTAACAACAAATATAATGTTAAAAACAAGGGTTTCTGACTCCAATACGTTAGAAACATCCGCATCTACAGGTAGCAAACTTAACCGACAAAGATTTGCACTAAATCAACAGCATACTCAGATCGAACAGTCCCAATCATTACAAATGATAGCACTTAAAAACGATGATGGAGTATTTGTAGAAACTTCATTAATGAACATAAAAAATACTTTAAATAGTGATGAGCCATCTACAAGTACGATACATTGTAAGGATAACATAAATAATTCAATAGCAGTAACAACAGTAACAACTTTAACAACAACCACAACGTCACCGCTTTATTTAAAGCCCACAACAAATGAGGGATTAACTAGCACCAGCGTAACGGACTTCAAGCTCCCATTATTTTCCGAATCGCCAATATATAAATACGACACCACTATTACTTGTTTACCATCCACTTTACAATCATCATCTATGGGAGTACCGCTAGCGATACCACATACATATTCTACAGCTATGTCGCCTTCAGTTCCACGTACACCAGCCAATCGGGATTGCTTAACACGTATTCAAATGGATACACAAACAGGTATGGATATCTAAAATAAGCATTAATGAAACATATTTCATAAAATGTGTTTCTTTTATTTATCAATTTAGCTTCATCAATGTCAGCAGCATTAGATCTAACAACAGCTTCTGCGAGCGATATAAAAGAAACTTGTATACCTGGCCAAGTTATGGACATTACTGAAAACTCAGATACAGGGCATTTATTAAGTGACCAACAACGATTTAGTACGAATATAATAAGTTCACCTAACAATACATCGAACACAAGCAACATGCTATCACATATATCTTCTCCAGTCATTACACCAGTAAGCTTTAAGTATCCTCCACCTTTGTCACCAACATTCAATTCGATGGGCGCTTCTACTAATGGCCGCAATACTGCAATAACTACAACAGCACCGACAACTGCAATAAACACAACCAATCTGACAGAAGCATCAACGTCAATAGCTGGAACACCTTCTAATAAATTCGAAGCAGAACTAGTGCTTAGTCCAGCAATGCTAGGACAATAATCCTTTTTTAGAAAGATTTTTTATTTCGCTTTCATATGAAAGTATTATGTATACATTACTTGTAAAGTGATGTCAGGATCCTTGGAGAGCAATCATATTAAGTCCACTTTAAAATAAATTTTGCCAAATTAAGAATTTTTTTACAACCATAATAATAGGAGTATTCACTTCTTAGTGTAATTGTGTTGAAAAAAAGTGTTTACACATCACAATTCTTCAAAAATTGGGGATAATACTTTTAGTGAAGCCAGAACACATCATTATCTCCATTATCTCCAATTAAACAACAATCGTTTTATTCTGTAGTTACAAATGTCAAAATATAGTTTCACAAATGATCATCTGTTGCACTACGCAGAATTGAGCAACAGTTGCTGGGTACTAAATTCAATCCCGTTGGACTATAGTGAGAGTAGACAGCTACTGGAGCGAGAGACTCAAGCGAGGGACTCAAGCCAGAGACTCAAGCCAGAGACTCAAGCGAGGGACTCAAGCCAGAGACTCAAGCCAGAGATTCAAGCCAAAGACTCAAGACTCAAGCAAGGGACTCAAGCCAGAGACTGAAGCCAGAGGCTGAATAGTTCGTTGGAGATAATGAAAAGTTCTTGAAAGTCTTTCGTCAAATTTTCAACACAATTAAATCAAAATTGAATACCTCCACTGTGAATACAATATGTGTCTATATAAGGAATTTTGAATATTTAAAACAGAAATCTTTATTTTCTAAGTTCTAAGCGATATATTTAGCAAAAAATCAGCACAAATTCTATTTTTAAGTTTTCTTTCAAAATCAGTTCATAGACCACCACATTTTATTAATTAAGACAAATATTTTTTAACGATATTGAAAGCATCTCAATTAATGGTATTATTAATATTAAATGAAACCAATAATTATTGCTATAAAAAATTATTGTGATTTTAGATTAAATTTATTTTGCTATAATATTTCATTAGTGAAATTTGTAAAAAGTATCTATTTTTTAAGTAAGATTAACGATAATAATACCAAAAGAATTTCTCATTACGTAAATTGCTTAGATATTCATATATACTATTATTATTATAATTTTTCAAGTGAATTTTTTTTTTGAATTAACTCTATACATTTTATAATTAATTTGATTGATTAACACCGTGTAAAGGATTGCACTCGTATAGCCATTCTTTAAAAAGCCATTACTTATACGATCTATTTCGATGGAAAGTAGAATATCCATAGAATATCATAGAATACCATAGAATATCGATAAAGATCTTCATCGTTAGATGTGGTACAATTATTTGCCAGTTCCTCTTACTATATGAACTTATAATTTTATATTCAAGATTTTTCATATGTCATATGTCGATCGAAGCAGTATACTTTATAGGCCAGACGAGGTGCGAGGAAGCTGATTTAATATGTCCCAACCAAACTCTTCGTTGAAAACATAAGTCTCTTGTAAATGTGCAAAGATCGACTACTTATATTCTTTATAAACAGTTGTTGAGAGTTATTTACTATTCAATTCATTTGATAAATTTACATATAAAAGACCAGAACTTAGAGATAAAAAATTCTAAAACTTTTTAAGAATTAGTACCATATTTTTTTTATTTGTTTTATTTGATTTTAGGTTAGGTTAGGTTAGTTTAAGAAGGCGCGTGCTGACAGTTATCAGCACTTCCACACGGAGGCATATATTGCCGATTGTGATGCCCTCTTATTTGATTTTAACTAGCTTTTCAGTTGTTGTGAGATCTTAAAGTAATTCTATTGGAATTCATGTAAGGAATAAACACAATCGATTAGGAATTAAAAGACAGTTCTAAGAGTTATTCCTCGTTTGTGAAGTAAGTTAGGCAGGTAGATTTTTTTAAAAATTTAATTTTCTTAGGATGGTCTACTGCAGTTTGCTATTAATTTCACTTGCTGATGCTCGCTTAAGATGTGTTAGTATAAAGCACTCCGTCCCAGTAGATCAACTTATGTAAATATAGCATAACTCTTTGCTTTTTATATATATTAGTATTTTTGTATATAATTAATTCTTTTATAATGATTTCATCTAGTTATATGTGAGTGTAATTTTCAGTCGCCATCACTAAATATATAAAGCTTAATAATAAAAAAAGATAGTCTAAATAATAGTAACAATCTATGAGGTTGTTATACAATATCCAGAACAGAACACAAAATCAGAATTAATGTATATACTATATAGCCTAACATAGTGCACAGCCGGATGCGTGCCTTATTGACTATATTAACTATAAATTCATATAATTAAATTTATATAATTAAATTTATATATATGTAATTGTGCCACTCAAGCAATAGCGATGGCCATTTTGTGATGGGTTAGTTACTTAACCCACACATCGAAGTAAACAACTATCTTTTTTTTTAGATATTGAGGTTATGATCGATTGATGACTTCTTTTGGTTTTATACCACGTGTTAAGAATTTATGGCAAGGTTTTTTATTTGGGTGTTGTCTTTTCGCTAATAAAAATATTCATAATGAATTGCTATTCGGAGAAGGTGTTCACAGCCCCCATTTCAGCAAAATATTAAAATCGGCTTTGAACGATTTTCCACTTACATAAGTGCAATAAAAACAGATATATATATTTTGTTATTTAACATATATATATAAGCATATATATAAGCATGTATATGAATAAATTTGAAGGTATGAAATAAAATCAATATTCGTTATTTCGCTTTATTTATTTATTTTTTTTTTTTGATCATTTTTATTATGCTTGTTATTAAAATAAAAAAATTTGTCAAAAGAATTTCATTTTTATAAAATTTAGATAGTGAGGTATTGGAAATTACGTAATTCAGGGTTCAGATTACTAACTTCGTGGAAAGTAAGTTAGCAAAACAAAAAAACATAGTAATGTAGTATTAAGGTATATAGATAAAAGTACCCCTGCTTCTAATGGGTTTTTTATTAGAAAAGTATGAGTACAAAAATCAAACAGCTTAATTTAAAATTTTTTGATAACAAGGTCAAAATCGAAACAAAAAAAAATGTTAAAACCATTATTATATTTTATATTCTTCTGCTTTATTTTTATTAGGCTTATGGCGTAGGCCCGCATTGCAATTAGAATAGAGACATTATACATATCTTCAATGCTAGATCAAACATCCATTCACCGATCTTGAGTCAATCACAAAAATTTGGGCTTTTCCCAAATAAATGTATGAATATAAAATTATTTATACAATATGTAAATATAGTGTTTGTAACTTACAAATAAATAAATACTTTTTTTTTTTAAATCTCTATATATCTGTTATGGTCTCAAAACAGGTTTTGTTCTCGTCACACGAGTGAGAACCCCGTTTAACGTCAATAAACTACAATGTGACCGGTCTTTATGCTAAATTCACAATACTTTGAATCCAATTAAACTCTTCCAAACTTTTACATTAGTTAAATTTATATACGGGCGGGTATGTGTACTATGCAATTATCTTATATAATATTAATATATATATATTGTGTAAATTTTATTATTTTATCCAAAATGTTGGGAATTTGAATGTTACAAACACTATTAATATCGTACTCCTACGAATATACTTGTACATAAGAGTATTGTAAATTATTTTCAAAAAATTAATAGATTATGTTTAATAAATAATTTAAGTTATGTGTAATTGATATATGTATACGTATATATATATATATATATACATATAAATATATATATATAAAGATATGTCAATGTGGAATTAATAATACGATTACTCGCTGATTCGATATGAGCCTTTTATTATAACAGAAGCGTAAGTCCATTCATTTATGTTCAATCGATATATTCTGGAAGCAATTAATCGTATTTCGATAATATGTATTTTCCAAATGTTACGTATTTTTAATGGCTATCCATGGACTTACGCCACTAGACTTACGATGTGCTAAGAAAATGTATGAAAATGTTAAATGTTTTTTATAATAATTCGATGTAGCCGAGATTTGAAAAATAAATTTTAAAATAGCAAAATAGCAAAATAGCAAAACAGCAAAATAGCAAAACAGCAAAATAGGAAAGAAAGAAACAAAGGTTTTAAGTATGCATTTTTATTTGCCTTAATAATTAGCAAAATTATTAAACATACAATATTAGTTAATATTTTTTGTAATAAACTAAATTATAAATTATTTTTCTTACGCCACTTTTAGAATAAATGGCTCATGTATGTACGCATTAATTAAATAAAGAAATTAAAAGTAATTAAAAGAAATTAAAAGAAATTAAAAGAAATTAAAAATTGCTATCTTTGTGTCCCAACATATCGTTTTTTTAAAGTAAATTTACTTTATTCCAGAGCAATAAATTAATATATAAATTTAAGTATATTTAACAAATATTTTAATAAGTATATAAGAATGTATTGATTACAATTACAATAGTGGCACTTAAGAAACAAATTACAGGCAACGTATATATATAACAAATAATTAAAAACAATATATGTATGTAAAAATAAACTAATAACAAGCGGGAACTATTAACTGCTTCAATTAAATTCAGATGTTTAATTATGTTTATCATTATTGTTCAAACTGCAAAACAAATAACAAACTATATAAAATAATAATAATTAATAACAAGAAATAGTTTTAAGATTTTATTGCATTTTGCATTAAAAAGATAAAAATTTCTGCAAAAATAAAAGAAAACCATTACTATACAAATGTGAAAGATTTCAGATGCATATAATGGCATATACTATAAAAGCCACTTGTGTTTCAATTATTATCATACCATATTTATTATTTTCCTTAGTCATTAATATTTAACCAATGTACCTAATGTAATGGTTTATGGATTAGGCTAAGACCTTTCTGTACTGCGACGACCAGCTTGCTCTATTGTGCACCCCTTTGTATTTAGACATTTAGTATCTGCTTCGGAAGAAATTTTTAAAGGTCTTCATCCTCTACTTGTTATGCAACTAATATTTTGTTTCTTCTACGGCCTAGTGCATCACAGTTGGTGATTAAATATTCCATCGACTCCTCTTCCTCATCACAGCAGAATCTGCAAATATTTGTGTCGGATATACCTATTTTGTGTGTGACTTTAGACTCTTCTTGTTTAGGTTTAAAACGATGTTTGCTCTTTTTGCATCGAAATTCAAGAATTTTTTGGAATGATTTATGCCGTGAATGCCATTTCAATATTCAATGATACTTAATTGGATCCATTTTTTGATCTCCTATTCTATGTTCTTTTTATTGAAACCAATGAATGGCTCTTTTGTTTCTTTTTTGACATAAAAGTCCGCCTTTTGGTTGCATTCGTGTACTTAATGTCTGGGTAACCAAATCAGAGAGACCTGCTTGTAGGTGGCTAGTTGATTAAGTACATTGTTACACTCCATAAGGACTTTTTATGTGAATGTATAGCTGTTTAAAGCTTTGAGTACTCATTGACTGTCTAAGAGTATATTGATTTTAACTCTCTTAAGCGCACTTTTGGATAAGATAATAATGGTCTCTATTATATTTAAAGAATAATATTACTTTAATTTAGGTTTAAAGTAACGGTCTTGCTTGGAAAAAAGATAAACCTCAATGAGGAACTTTTAATAAGAAACAAATGACAAGTGTCACAATAAACTGACTTTCAAATTAAACAAAGACTAAAAACGAATGACGATCAAAATTTTGCCCAACTTTCATTCAAATGCAATAATTTTACACTCTCATATACTTATATAGTTTGCCATTGCAGACATTAGTCGTCCTTGGCCCTGTACAGTAGCCTAAGCCGGACAGTGGCCTGATCAATAGCTTACTATCACAAGTTGGTAGTACTGACTGCCTTCAGTCAGTTAGCTGAACCTTTCATCGAAGATGCGCACGTCCACCAGCGGGTACCAATTCAAATACCTTTCTAGCCAGAGCACTTTCTTCCATTCACACGACTTGACTAAGCCAGCGGAGTCACTAAATTTTTTTGCGCGTAGCCATATTAAAGTCGCGGTATAGCTTATGCAGCTCATCTTTCGATATTCATTGCCAACGTGTAAGAGACCATAGACCATACAGAATTGAACTCTCCTATCATATTATAAAAATGAAAAGTTGATTCTGTAGTGAAATGATGATTCTGTAGTTAGTACGCTCTCTTCAATTTTTCTTTAGTGAGAAGGCATTTTTTGCTAAGTAAGTATGTCAACAAACAAAATCGTCATATCTTGGGTATGCGGACTCCAAAAGTATATATCAAAAGACCTGTGTAATCCCCAGAAGGCCACTTTTTTGAAATTTTTTTAGTTTTTTGGTATGAAATTCAAGGTATATATGTAAGATATATGTAGTTTCAAATGGAGTACACATCTGAAATCATGCAAAATTTTATGTATTAACTTTGTTATGATAAAAATTACCTAAATGTGTAATTTAACGTGTCAGTGAAGTAAATTGGGTAAATTGGATACTTTATAAGTTTATGCAAGGGATCGTGCTTATGCGAATAATACTCCAACATTCCAACATTCTTAAAACGAATATCCATCATGTAATATCGTAGCTATGCGTCTATAACTTATCAAAAGGATTCAGTTATGCAAGATGCTCCGTGAAGAACATTTTAATGATGTTTTATTTTATTTATTTTTAATATTATAAATTAATAATGCTAGCAAAGGACAAAACATTTGATAAATGAAGTCTTGTTATTCTCACTAATGACTTGAAGAGAACAATGAGTAAGAAAAAGAACAACGTCCAACAGTAGCATGAAATAAGGTGTACTTTGGAAAAACAGAAGTCAATGGTTGACTTTTGATCAACTCAATCATCAATTAAAGGCAATGACTCACTGGCTGGTCAATAGTACTGTTAAAATAATGGTAAATTTCATACAACTGAAGATGAGTAACCATTCAGACTTTCTCTATTTGGTTTGACGAAAGATCTTTCTCCATTTCAATCGAATCATATGTTAATTAATAATTTTTTCACATATATGTTAGATAATTTTAATTTTTTTTATATATATTAAATATAATTCTCATATTGCAGCACTTGGACAATAAGGATGTGTATCATTATTTTAATATATAACATTCTTAAAAGTTGTACTCTGGAAAAAAAGAATTAATCCAGAGTCAATGGTGAGCAGATTAAATAACAACAATAAATTTTATACAACTTTTTTATATTATTTTAATTTAAATTTAATTGATTTTTTAGCTGACCATACAACTGTTTCGAGTATTGCCAAATACCCATCATCAGTGGTTTTGGAAAGGTTAGGTTAGGTTATAACGGCGATCCCAGGGGCATCCACTTAGACCTATAGGTCCATTGTGATACCGTATTATTTAGAACCCATGGACTAAAACCATCCAGAACCTTTGATAAAGCTTATGATGCTATATAGAGGGAGGTCTCGAAGTTCGTCAAGATCCTCAAAAAAGAAAGCCCCCAAAAATTTAAGGCGACGCCGCGCATGTGCCGGACAGGAAGAAAGCAAGTGAGAGACACTTTCGTCATCCTCACCACAACTGTGGCAAAAATGGTTGAACGGTAGAATCAGTCTCCTAGCATGATTACCTAGAATACAGCCCCTCTGAGAAAACTCCACTGCCTACACCGTTCCCAGTCTTTGAACCATCAGTAAAAATTTGTAGACTATCACCCAGGGAGGGACCTGCTGATAACCAAGCTTCCCTGGATGGGAATCTAACAATAAATTTCCTATCAAAGTCGAGAATCGGAGAGGTGTAGTCAATGTTATTTGGAGTAAGACTGAAAATGTTTAGAATCGAGCCGTGCCCATAGTCACTGGCCTTCCATTGTGATGTAGCCTTAAGTCTTAGGGCAGATGATGCTGCCAACTGCTTACTGATGATGTCAAGTGGCATTAAGTTGAGTATTATATCTAATGCTATAGTTGGTGTTGTACACAGAGCACCACTAATACAGAGTTCAGCCCTGCGCTGAACCCTGTTAAGTACAGTACAGTACGAAGATTTATCAAGAGCTGTCCACCATATGACAATGCCATACAGAAGTATTGGTCTAATGATAGCAGTGTATAGCCATTGAGCGATACGTGGTTGCAATCCCCACCTTTTACCAATAGCTTTTTGACAAAGGAGCAATGCAATGTTTGCTTTCCTAGCACGCTCCAAAACATTTTCTTTCCAGCTCAGTTTCCTATCGAAAACAATGCCTAAAAATGTTGCTTTCTCAATAAATTATATCGCAGAACCTTTAATATAGAGTGGAGAAAGATTTGGAACCCTATGTTTTCTGGTAAATACTACGATTTCTGTTTTTCTGGGGTTAACCCCGAGACCACATGTCAGTGTACAAATGTTAAGGATATTCAGGCCATACTGCAAGATATCCCTTAAATTAGTAGCATATTGTTCAGTAACTGTTAATGCAATGTCATCCGCATATGCAGCTATCCCGCGTCCCGCTCTCCCCAGTTTTTGTAACAGTTCATTCACCGCTATATTCCAGAAGAGGGGAGAGAGTACGCCCCCTTGGTGGGTACCTCTATTGACCCGTCTGTGTTTTGCTGATACACTCATTTGTGCTTCAATAATTCTGCCAGTTAGTAACTGACCGATAAAGCTGATGAGCGCATCCTCAACACCCAGACGCGAGAGTGCGCTTGCTATTGCACTGGAAAGCATAGTGTTAAAAGCTCCTTCAATATCTACGAAAGCCACTATACAAAATTCCTTTAATTTAAGAGTTTTTTCAATAGTACCGGTAAGGGCATGGAGTGCTGTCTCTGTGGATTTACCCTTAGTGTAGGCGTGTTGTGTCGGTTTTGGAAATAATTCTTGAATTTAATTATTCGTAAATATTTTTTTTTGAGCACGTAAGTATCAGGAATCGAGCTCTCTGCACTGCTAAATTTGAAGCTCAGAATCAGCGCTGCATTTTAATATTATAGTATTGCCCTTAGCAAATTTTTGTTATAAAGCTGTGAAAAAACTCAAACGAACTTTAAAATATTGGTACAATTTTTTGAGTAATAATAAAATAATAATTAAAAGTAATTAACACCAAAAAAAAATTTATATAATGAAGAAAAATAAATACTATATATTTGCAAACATACGAGTAATAGCAAAATAATAATTTTATGTAAAGTAATATATTTTATATTTATATAAAACGTGTCAGTCTTAAACGCATTGCGGTCCGCTAACAATCATACCTAAACTAGTCTTAGAGTAATCCACGATTTCCTACAGGGTAATGTTGAAGCTTTAAACATTCCGTCCTCCCTACCCGAACAAGTTCCATTCCGCAATTGAGTTTTTTCTCAAACAGTTGCTCTGTCAGTATATATACTCAATGACTTGAACTTCTGATTTCACTATGAAGAGTGTCGTTGTACCGGAGATAGGGCTTGGTGCTCGCTACATTTATTGAACACAAGTCTGTTGTGCATTGTATTATACCTAATTTAACCAAGAACGTAGAACGAAGAAAAACGGAATGTGCCTTTAACTGTGTGAGATGTAAAATTACTATAAATATAAAATGTCTAGTGCACTAAGCGTCAAAGTACATAAACGAAATGAATTGGAAAAATAGGTAACTGTCTGGTATGTGACGTCATGTGACACTCAATGAAGTTTTAGCTGAGACCTTCGCCCACAACTGAACTGTGTTTTATATGGTGGTCATGGCAACTGAAAAATTACAAACTATTTTCGGCTTGCAATTTACTTGGCCCAAATGTATATACCAGAAAGGAAAATTGACTGCCAGACAAATAGCTATAATTGCTTCCACAATAGTTTATGCCTGTACGATTTCTGTAATAAAAAATGTTTTCTTTATGAAACAATGATTTTATCAACAAAGTGATAATTGTTCTCAGTTTAATCGAATTAAAGATGGTGGATTTGAAAAAACTACATAAAATATGCAAAAATAGGTGAGTATTTAATATGAACTAATCTATTATTTAAGAATTTTTTCAATTTTTTCTTGAAGTACGGTACGTGTTATACATGTAGATATGTGTCTGGACTGGTCAGGGTTACACAAGTGTTGTTCTTACTTTAAAAAGGTTACAGAAAAGTTGTTGAAAATGTTTAATATAACTACAACTTATCTGGGCAATTCAAAGTATAACTGTCCTATAGTGCGACATTCTTATAATGTGAAATATAAAAGATGTTCATAAACATATAAATTATCAGTAAGACATCCTTCAGTGCTCTATTGTGGCCAGAGGTCATTTACGAAATGATAAAGATGTATTTCCTCTAACTGCACTGGCGCAATTTATTGAAATCATTATCAACATTCAGCTCTGAAAAGTTTTAATGGAATAATCTTATAAATTGACTTTAAGTTTCAATCTGGAGACACAGTAAAATATTTATGCTTCAAATTCTACAACAAACAAATTTCTAAAAGCATTATAATTAGTCCAAACTCATAAGGGTTCTACATAATTTTTTCAGTTGTTTCTGTTTCGAGCTACAGCTTTTAGTTCGTTAAACGATTTGCCAGTTTTGTCGTAAATAATCCTCTTTCAGATTGTTGATGGTCTACCACTGCGTCTGAAACTTTGCGGATTCCAGGTAAAAGCGGCGTGAGGTATTTTGTTATATTCTTTACGCAACGTGTGTCCTAGTTTTTTCACTTCCAAATTGATATTTGTTTGATTAGTAGCTACCCACAGTTTTCCATCAGAGATAGTTATCGGCCACCAGATTCTTAAAATGTTGCGGAGGCAAATGATTGCAGTTTAGCTTTTACTTCATTTGTTACTACCCACGTTTCCGAGCCGTATTTATTACAGTAACTTAACGCAGATGCTGAATATCTTAATCTTTGTTTCTAGACGTATATTGGTCGAATGCCATATATTTCTTAGCTTAGCACAAGCTGTACGGCTTCTTTGGATACGGCTTTTTACATCTGTTTTGGGTCCACTATACGTGGAGATAACATTACCTAGGTGTGTAAAGCTGGTAACGTTTGTGATACTTTGATCGTCTTTTGAAAAAGTACTGCTATTGTTAGTTTCAGTTTTATTTATATTTATTTTTAGACCAGAGTTCGCTGACTACGCGACCAACACGTCCAGTTTTGACTGCATTTGATCCTGTCTGTGGGACAACAGTACCAGATCATCAGTGTAATCAAGGTCTTCAAGGGGGTTATTTAATTGCCAGTTTATTCCAGAAAGCATCTTTGTCTGATACCTGTAATTGATGGGAGTGCCTGGCTTGCTTCTCCATTGTGTAACACTCTGCATTATGCTTCAGTTTAGTTATTTTTTATTAAGTTAATTAACTTCTAAAATTATGTATTTTAAAAATAGACCTCACTGAAGCTTTCAAGTTTTTAAGAGAAGTAAACCATCATACATGGACTGGAAGATTAGACTATTATATACAGTGATATTATATAGTATTATTCAGTGATTACAGTCATTTCGGCTTGAAAAATTTTATTTATTCAAAAAATATTGTGTGTAATGAAAGTATCAAATGGAACGGTATATAATGTTGGATCGATTTAGAACTTTATACAACTGTTATATTAACTAACGATTCAATAACAAATTTTTATTTGAAACTCTTATTTAAATATATACTTAATAATATAATACTTCATTACAGTAACTGATATATTCAAGTTAAATATCGTTCTAAGCATTAAACCGATTGATTTATAGTTATATATGGATCTGGATACAGAGACAGAACAGAGAAAGAGTTTATAACTTATATTAACTAAATCACTTATTCAAACCCCTTTAAAAGCAGTAGGATGTTTCAATCTGAAATATCATCTTTCTAAAATCGTATTCAAGACCACCTTAATGAATAACATAAAATTTTTAAAAAAGCCTTAATATGAAATCGGAATAAAATTGTTAAAATATAAATTAAGATAAGACTATGGGCTAAAACAGTTGACACTTTGTTTATACTTAAATTTCTTTCCACAATAGAAGTTCTCTAATTTGAATATCAGCATAATTTTGACCACAGTCTTATACCATTAGATCGACTTCTGGCGAAAAAATTAACGATTGCTAAAGATGGGAACGAAGTATTTATTTTAACATTTATGGACATTGTTAAGGGTTTCTAATCTACTATCCAGAGAATGCTATACACTTGACATACTTGAGCAAAAACAAGTATGTTTTTGGATTAAACATAACATAATTAAATTTATTTCCACTGGAAACAATCTATAAATTTAGTTGATACAGTTATAATATATTGTTTATAATGTAATTTTATACTTACTATATATTTTCAGAAACTTGAAAACTTTTTAAAAACTATATGAATTCCACATTTGCTACTGAAAAGACTGACTTAGGAATTATCTTTAAGAAATGCAATTAGTGATTATCTATAAATCTTAGTAAGCCACGCTCAGGATACCCACATTATAAGTTATTGCAAGACAACTATAAAAATTATAACAAAAGTGAAGAATTATGTGAAACTAATAATCCTATAAGAAATATATCAATGAAGTTGTTATCTCTGAACTCGTGTAAAATGTAATCACAGTGAAGATTTAGCACCTGTTGAAGACATCCGTTAGGACGTTGAGTTACTACATGGAGAGAATGAAATCCAATCAAGGTTTGTAAAATGTAGTAGTGTTAGTAGGACTATTGCATAACAATTAAGTAAAAATTCATAATAAAAATTATTTAAATATATATCACATTTAATTAAATTTACCTTAATATATTCATTTGGAGACATACCTAAAAGTATTTTTGCTGTTCAGTTAATTTTCATCATTTTTTTAGTTTTGTACTAATACACTTAAATTTTTTTTTTATATATAAGATTTCTTTTGCTCAACTATTAAAATCTTTGACTAAATCCTCACTCCTTCATTTTTACTCAACCACATTTTATTTGATCCAGCCTGCTTTAGGCCGTGTTATGCAGACGATCAAATAATTGTCAATCGTGGATCTCCCAATTTGTATCAGCCATCAATTTAAGTTAAAAAATTTAAAACATTAAAAGCAGCAACAAATTTGTTGATCGTTAATAGAGAATCGTTTGATCGATTTTGGTGATGGGAGATCATTTGATCGTTCAGCACAAAATAGCAATCATGGTCATAACCCTACACTCCGTTGGGAGCTAGTACCCCGCTTATTACTATTCTATCATTTGATGGTTCGCACAATATGAACGTCAGCAATTAGCATTATCTGTTTTCTTTCTTTAATTATATGTAAAAATTCTGTACAAACAAATAATACACAAACTTATAATTGTTTTATAAACTAGATAATTAGTGAAAATGTTAAAGATATAATCAATTATATACATTCTAGGAGTTTTTGCGAATGACTTGAAAGTATTAATTTGGAAGAACAATTGAAGTAGAAATTAGCTTCAATCAAAATTAGCGATGAAATGGTAAATATATTAAAATGTCATCAAATTTTGCTTAAACTATACAATCTATTTTTTAAAGGTTTAATTAAAGGACTCTAAAACTCATCTAAATGAAGCAGTTTTTTTAAATTGAACAGAAATGAACCAAAAACTGCCCGACAAGCAAAACGTTGGGGACACACCCAACAACTGCGATGCTAAAAATGCCAAAGATAATAGTAAGATTTATAAGTATTTTAGTAACTCTGCTCAGCATTATTATCGACGTGGATATCAACTACCTAACAAATATGAATTACAAACAGAAACTCCAAGTATCAGTAACACTGAAAGTGAGTGCCTTTTTCCAAGTGATAAACTTTGTCCCAAATGCAATGTCCGACTAAAATGCTATGAAGATTTCTGTATACGTTGTCAACTGGAGTTCTTTTTCAAAATCAGCGAGAAGCAAAAACTAAAGTGGAACAATTTATTCAAAAATAAAAGATACACCAACTTTCCAAGAGAGTCCAATAGCTATTCCCTGGTATGCAGTAATTGCGAAAGATTGTACACTTTATGCCCAGTTTGCTTAGCTAAAAATAATGTCTGTCATGACTGCCATCAGAAGCGGAACGTCTGTATGAATTGCAGACGGGTTCTATGTATTTATTGTCTGGACAAAAGCGCTGTCTACGGAAACAACAATGTTACGCAAAGTAATAAATATGAAGAATTTAAACAGGTAAAACATTCACCAAATTATTATTAACTGCAAGCCATAAATATTGTTAATTACTTTATTTTCTTAGGCGGGTGTAAATAAATTCAAATTAGAACCACAAAGCTCCTTTAAACTACTAGATTTGGAGTATGAGGCATTAAGCAGTAACGAAGCAGAATATGACTTTTCGCAACCGACACCCTCAATAGATATTAAAAGTAACAGAAAATCTTCTACATACTCTCCTTTTTCACTGAATATGGATTGCAGTTCTATTTACCCTTATAATCAGGAAGGTCAACTAAAACAAACAAGTTCTATTAAACCGCTACCGATTATTATGAATAGAAACTATTCTAAACTTCCTAGTTCTGATGACTATATTGAGGGATTGTGTAACGAGACTCATAAATCCCTAGCACATTATCATAAAAGTAAAGGAAATTTAGAACGACTGTATTCTCAGAAAAAGATCGAATCCAATAACCGCAGCACACAAACTACGCCTGAGTCAAGAGCTCGACGCGATGTAGTCCTACATGAGGAATTTAATATATCAATGCCGCTGATACGGGAGATGCCCAAAACCACGCGTAGAAATTACAAACTAAAAAGATCAATAAGTTTGCAGCGTAAAATGGATAATATGATACGTAAATTAGATATAAGTAAATAAAATTGATTTTACTGGTTAGAATATCAATAATAAAGTTTTTAATGAAAACTTTTTTGGCCGAATGGAATAGTTCTCACGAATTTACTGTAAGTGAGTACTTGAAATTGATATTCCTTCAACTTTGCTCTTTAATATTCGGTGCTTTCAATTCGAGTTTGTTTAAAATGTGTATAAAATTTGTAATAAATATATTGTTCTACTACGATTCTTTAAAATATTATTGTATTTTAATAATTTTGAGTTCATTGATCTAATTTGAGTGGTAGTCAATTAACAAATAGGCACCGTCTTTAACACTCATTTTTAATATTGTACAATTCTTATCTTTATTATATTATTGTTATTAACATAATTGAGTTTATACATTATTAATAATTTTTGTTAAAAATTTTCTTCTTGCAAGTTATTTAAGTCATTTTTGTCTTGCACATGACTTTTCTACTTCATACCCATTTAGTTTTCTTAAATGTCATTTTAATCCCACCTTACGACGAAAAGTTGACTCAACACCCATAAAGTTATGAGTTATATTAACAACTAAAGTGGAATTTCATCACAAAAAGTGTTGTTATAAACCATTCTTTCTTAACTGAAAACATACTAATGACCGAAATAAAATTAACTATGAATTCAATTATATTGGTGCCAATATTCGCTCAAAAAATTATATCTTAATAAACGATTTAGACGGATTCGAGTAGCAAAGAAAAGACAAGGACAAAAATTTTCATTAAATTATTGAAATTTGGCTGATCATATAACGCTGTTTCGAGTATTGTCAAGTACTCATCGTCAGTGGTCTTCTTGATATATAATATATATTAATTCTTAAAATAATATATATTTTATTCAATTTTATTTAGTTAAGTTTATAATAAAAAAACAGTGTGAAATGAATGTTATATTTTCGTATTTTTTAATTTTTATTTTATATTATTTCAATATAGTGTAAGATCCACACAGTTAAATCACTGGTTAGCTAACCTTCCACTTTTTACCAACTTCTTGATAATATTCAGTTATCCAAAGCGCTCATTTATTGTTTTTTCTCTACAGTTAATTAACCTATGATTTGCAAAAATTATAGCAGTTGTTGAAGGTTTTCTGTCAGAATGACTGGCTGGTTAACATTCTCTTGCTTTAATTTAGAGATTTTTTTTATTAAAAATATTGTTAAACTATATTTAAAAACTTTTTAATTTCAGAAACAAATGAATATGTTTATATTCATCTATCAATTCAAATTGAATTTTTTGATTTTAAATTCATATATATAAATATTGAGAGCAAAAGTAATTATAGAAAAATTGTACAAATTTTATAAGCTCATATGTTACTTGAAGAAATTCCATCGGTTAGTTAACCTAACTAACCAGAGATTCTTCGTTTTAAGTTTAGGTACATAAAAGCAATAGTCAGTTAATCGGTGAGATTAACTTAATTAATGAGAATTAATTATAGGTGACAACACTACTCCTAAAACAGATGTATTTATAACATATTACCACTCGGTGGTGTCAAAAATGATCCGTCTTGACTAATGCCACGTTGTCTAATGCCAAACTTTTCCACACATAAATTTTACAAGTAATTCTTTGTTGATACACTATTTTTTTTTGGCTCAATCATTTCTGATTTCTCTTCTGTTTTCATATGGCATATGTTTTCATATTTTCAAACAAAAAAAACTCTGTATAAAATTTGTCTTACAGAATAGTTGGAGGTCAAAGATATGGACACCCAAGGTCTAATGGACTTCCACTATCGAGATATTAAACAATATACATATGTACCTTATAGGGCTTTCCATGTCTTCCTAATAAAGGCGTGGTGATGAGCATATTCCTTTTTCATGTTACGATTGTGGAACGGTCTACAAAAATAAACTTTATAAGAATATTAAAAACTCACTTTCTATGGATTTAACATTAAATGAATATACATTTAATCATCATCCGTGTCTGTACAATCCATGTAGGACCTAAGCCTGTTTAACAACATCCTTCCTTTTTTTCTCTGTTTTTTGCTTTTGTTTTCCAATTTCTTATGTTCTTTTCTTCTAAATCCTGCTGCACACTGTCTTTCCATCGTTTTTCTGGCCGCCCTCTTCTTCTGCTGTTTCCTACTTCGTTTTCATAAAGTTTGAGCGGTACTCTCATATCCGGCATTCTTATCACATGTCCAACCTGTCTTAATGGGTGTTTTTTTCATAAATTTGTTGATTTTATCACCTTCAACTAGCCGTTCTAGCTCATTTTTGTATATTATTCGATTCTTCCCGTTTTCTTTGACTGGGTCAAACATTTTTCTGTGTATTTTCCATTTGAAAACTGCTATTTTGCTTGCTTCAGTTTCAGGTAATTTCCATGTCTCGCATGAAAATGTTAATTCGCCCAGTAGTAACATTTCCAACGTTTTGTACTTTTTTAATTTTGTTAGCACATCCAAGGCTGTTGTTCAACATTCATTACGGATAAATTTTTTTACGGTATGAGGTTGTCAACCTTAAAACCAATCATTTGTCTAAATTTACCGCGCCAGGTGCTTGCGTTCGCGTTTTATGAAAGGACTTTGCTTGTGGAGCCAAGATGTTATTTGGTGGGTATTTCTCGCATTTTACGGCTTCACGAGACCCTTGCAAGTACTTTTCCCTCCTCCTTTACGGCGGAGCTGATATTCATAAATATTCTTTTAAATATTCATAAATTATATTATTTTCGCCTTAACCATCGTAGAACTTTGCCTAAAAACAAGTATTATAAATATGTTATAAATAAATAACACATCAATCCATACCTTCTATTGATGAATTTACACTGATACATTTCTTGTAATTTTGTCAGTCTAAGTAATACCAAGAAGAAATGAATTACTAATTTTTAAGCTAGCTATAAATATCTGTTAATTCAGATTAGCAATGGTCTTTATAGTCTGTAGGGCTTAGCGTCAGTATAAATTAAATGCATTTGTTTAGGCTAATATAATCATTCATGGCGTTTAATTTTTTATATTACGTTGACATATTATTAACCCTATTTACTAAGTCTTATGTTAAGGTTTTTCCGACTCAATGTAACTTGGCACTTATACTCCCTAGTTAGCTGGTTTCTAGAAAGTCCCTCTATTCTCTTTGACTAATTTATGTCATCCTCACAAGCTTTGCTAGTGACTGCTCTGAAATTAAATAGTGCTATGTAGGGCAGCTTGTCAGTTTTCGCGTATAGCTACAGGGTTCTGCTCCTTATATATGTTTTGACCGGGTCTATTCTGAGGTCTCTTAGCATGTCATTCGTGCAGATGTACCATGGCATTTTGAAGAGTCTTCGGAGAGCCTGACTAAGTGAATTTATTACTCAATTCGAAAAAATTACTCAATTTCGAAATATTTAAAAGTCGTCTGCTAAAATTGAACTGTATCTACTTGCCGTAAAATCCTTTCAATCCTATAATTTAATATAATTATTGTTAAGTTTTTTCTAAGAAAAGTAAAACATTTGTTTTTAATTTGAAATAGATTTTTTCTTTTTTTATTTTTTTAAATTTTTTTTCACGTTTTATTTTTGTGGTTACCAGTTTAGATTCATTGTTTTCTAATAATGAAATGCTGCTGGCGGTAAAGCGTATGTCGGGATGTATTGGGAGTAAGCACCGGCTGAGCCATAGCCACCACCGCCTGATGAGCTGCATCCAACGGGTTGCAAAGCAGGTTGACAACTTATAATGTAGTTTTTGGGGCAAGGTGGAGCAGGAATAGATACTGGTCGGGAGGCAGGTGCTGATGGTGCAGAATAGGAAGATGATTGTGCTGGTGCAGAGTATGATGGAGCTGATGCTGGAGCAGAACCTCCATATGAGGATGATTGTTGAGGAGCTGGAGCAGAATATGACGAACCACCACCATAACCACCACTGCTAGATGAGCCGCTGCTACCACCATAACCACCGCTGCTAGATGAGCCGCTGCTACCACCATAACCACCACTGCTAGATGAGCCGCTGCTACCACCATAACCGCCACCAGATGAGCTGCTGCCGCCACCATAACCGCCACCAGATGAGCTGCTGCCGCCACCATAACCACCACCAGATGAGCTGCTGCCACCACCGTAAGATGAGGCTACCATACCCATATCCTTTGAGCTGGCCTTGTCAGCTGCAACTGCAACAGCGAAAACTGTTAAAATAACTGCAAATGTTTTCATCTTGAGTGCGAAGCTTTTTGTTATCTATAAAGAGTAGTTAATCCAACTGATGCCGATTTTGTTGAAACTGAGACTTTTTATATTTTTTGCTATTCACTTTTTACATTCTATAATATATATTCTACGTTCATATGAACATATATGTATATATAAACATATAATATATAATATATTTAATCTTTATTTATAGTATTAAAATTTTATTAAATTCTTTTTAAGCTGTTGTCATCGCATTAAGACAAGAAGAAGAAGAACTTAAAAGAAGCATTCAGCAGTTTCTGAAAGCGCTAAATGTGCTTACGCATGTTCTAGTTTGCAATATTTGGATACGACAGTCAGTAAAATGCTTAAGAGCAACTTTTAAATTTAAAAAAATTTAAAGAAAATATATGTATAACTACATTATGTTACTACTAAAAATATTAATAATAATATATACTTAATATATAACATTTAACTAGGTCGAATTCTTAACACAATTCAAAAATCATTTAGTTGCACTGTTTTAAAAAAATTTTAGTATATTGGATTCATTTCTTATTTAAAATAATATGAATGTGTATTTAAACATAAATATGTACATACATATTAAGAACATTCGATTTTAGGTAATAAATGTTATACGAGTTCTAATATCGCAATATTTTATAGTATATAGTATTAGGAAAAAGTTAGCATTTGGTGGTATCGCTATATGATGCACTGTCTGTTATAGACATGGTATATATATAATCTCTATATTACAGATATATTATGTTATAGATATATTATATATATCTAACTGATATCAAATTAAATTTGCAATAAACAAAAATAGTTACTTTAACTAAGTCGAATTAAGAGAAGCTCCAATTTTATTTATTTATACCTTTTATTCCTAGATGAAGCATAGGGCCGTAACAAGTAGTTTTCATTAAGTTCTATCTAATACAAGGCGTTTTGTGTCACTCCAGCTCTTTTCAACGTTTCTTATTCGGTTTCAGTTTGTCTCTTCCAAGTGATGTGCGGGTGCAACTCTCTCTTCTACTGCCTTGAGAGTTGCAATCTAAGACTTTTCTTGCGACATCATCAGGAGGTTTCCTTTAAGTATGTCCAAGCCTGATTCGTTCTAAACCAGAGCTCGCTATTGGTTGTGGTTGCTAGCCAGAATACAAGGAGGATGCGTCGTAGAAAGCGATTGGCAAAGGCTTGAAGATATTGTGGTTCGCTTGCGGACAAGTTCCAGCTTTCGTCAACGTATAGTAAGGTTGACTTCACATTTGCATTGTACAGGCGTATATTAGTGCGTTGTGAGATGTTGAATACACGCCAGATATTGCTTAGAGTTCCAAACGCTCATTGCTTTCGATAGCCTGTGTTGAATATCTAGCGAACAGCCGCTGTTATTCGAAATTTAGCTTTTCGCTTAGCAAAAACTTTATACATCTTCGAAGTAGACGCTATCTAGTTGGAAATTCGTTAATAGAATTTTATTTGCACTAATATAAATAGCTTCGAGACTTAGAGAGAGGTTTTGTTTAATTGTAAATAGTCAATGTAATAGTGACTTTAAACTCTAATGAAGAGCTCTTTCTATAAATATATTTAAAGCTATACATATACAAATCAATATTAAGTATTTTCCTTTCTTTGTAGCCTCTGTTACCACTTTATTCAAAATATTTCTTAAGACTAACATCTAAAATCTTCACCTATAATTATAGCACGGATTCGAAGTATCGAATCCTGATAAAACAATCCGCTGTTTGGTGAGGCCACGCAACGATAATAAAATATACTACCATGCTGTCAGTCATTATTGATCACGACCGATAATATAATATATTTAAGTTTTGAAACAATGTGTTATTTCTTTGTTGTTTAGTTAGTTACAATATTTATACGATATGATATTAAGATACAGTATTGGTCACTTTAAATAGTTTGTAATCTTTAAATAATACAATAAGTATTATTGAAGATTGTTTGTTTAGGGTCAAACGATCATCTTCAATGTGGATTGTTTGCAGCACATTTCCTGATAACTTACATAGATATTGATATATATATAAATATAATATATGTAAGATGTCAATTAAGACATTTTTACCATCCGCCGGGTATTTGAATTAGCGTCCTTAATACTATAAAGCATTATAAGATTATATATTATATAGTATTATTAATCTAATTTGGCCTTTTATAATTTTAATTAAAAATTTTTAAATCACCTTTTGTATGTATAAATCATATAGTTTTATGCTTTTTTAATGAATACAGCTAAAGCCAATCATTCAAAAGTTATAGTGATTCTTCAAAATTAAGCGAAGCGTACCGAAATATTTTATGTGTAATTCTTTAAGTATAAAGTATTCCCCCACTAAATGAATCGAACCACATTTCTTAAGAACTACAATATTAACACCAGCTTTTAATTTAATTTAATTTTATATATAATTTAATTTTATAAAAATTTAAATAAATTTTATTTTTAATTTAATAACATTAAATTTAAAAAAAATTAAAATTAAAGAAGAGCAAATAAGAGCTACATATTTTGAACTCTATTAAAAAATTGATTGTGTTTTGAGATATATTAACTACAAAACCATCATAAACCAATTACTATTCATTGTAGTGACTAGAAATTTGTTTCATTAACAGTATATGAAGTTTCATTACTCTAAATCCGATCATTTTTATTACTTACGAAATCTTTCCAAAAATGAAATTCTTCACTAAAGATTTTTTACCAATGACGGATTTGTTTCACATTATCCTAAGGCCCAATCACGTAAATTCATACATATTAAAAAGCACACAATTATAAATAATATTTCGCCGGTTATCATAACAAAGTCCAAATTCTTGGGAACGTTGTCCAATTGATTGTTTCCGATTTACAGCCTAACTTTGGTTCACAGTAACATATTTACATTTCCGATGAAGTGAATTCTTAAACACTCACTCATCATAAACACTCACAATTGACCCAAGGTTTTAGAATGGTAAGTTCAATAAGTCGATTATGTTGACCATAATATGATACATGAAATCTAGTCCGATTAGGTTCGTTATTTATGTAATAAATAACAATAACTGCTACCATAAGTTTTGGTTTAAATTGATTAAAAACGGTTGCAATGATACTTTTTTTATATTGATGATCATTTTTTTATATCGATGATATTTTCTCCTTTAAATAGTTTTAACGTAGTTATACTGAGTCAAGACATTTATTAGCTTACCTAACATTTTACAGATTAACAGATTTATTGGGATACTTACACTCTGTTTTTAAATACAAAAATAATGTGCCGTAGATAAAGTCAAGAATTATCTGAAGTATACCTGAAGTATCTCAGGGCGGTGTTATAAACACATACATGCATTCCGAATTCGGTATTTACATTAAAGTCTTAAAAACAGATATTATTTTGAAAGATACATCTTTCCGACTGTCAATCAATCAATAAAGCCAATATAGTAATTGCATAAAAAATGATTTCACTTGTTGAAAAAGATATAGCCAATTCCATAAAAATAAAATATTGTTGTCATTAAATAATAATATAAATTAAGAAGATTTTACGGATAAATAAATTTGTGGACTTAATTTCTGTCAAGTTTTTGAAGTCATAGAAATCAAATAAAAATGATATATATAGTTAAATTAGTTAATTAAATTATTATAGTTAAATTAGCGATACAAATCATTAATATATAAAGAGCGTAAAGATATAAAATTCCTAGAGATCGGGGCACATTCTGGTTAGTATTTGCTACTATTTCTTTTATGCTAATATTTACTATGTTAAGTTATGCATATTATATTTTTTTTAAAGACGAAACACATTTTTTTAATAAAATTACAAACATAATGCAAGTTATGGAAATAATTTCCTTTTGAATATTAGATACTGGTTTAACCACCTATCGACCAAATAGAAATCCTGTATCTCATGCTTAAATGACATACAAAGGTTTAATTGTGAAGAGTGTTTATTCCTTTGTATTCATATTATACGTAATCTCCCGCAAGTCTACACCGATTTGAAATGAAATTTTTCAAAGATTTTTTTATAGACATAAGCCGGAATTGACGTTAGTACATATATTATTCAGAATTTTTGGATGACCAGAATGATATAATGGTTTTCTTTCATCTTTAATTTTAGTTTCAAGAATACTTAATCATGTAAATACGGTAAATGAACGATAACAATAAAATATTTTGTGGTCAAGGACTCACGTACCATAATGATACGCATTGTCATGATGACGCTCTTTTCAAAACGTAATTTTCCTTTTATTGGCTCTCTAGCGATTTCTATTTCGCATTTTGACATTCTGGTTTTAACTCGGTTTAGAAAGAACACGTTTTATCACCAGTTATGGATTAGAAAGAGCACAATTTATCACCAGTTAAAATAACTAACATACTTGATTGTATCTGGATTCCATCTAGAAATTTTGAACATAGGTATATATTTGAAATGATGAATTCTTTAGTAGTATCGGAAGTCCGTTGAAGTGTGTAACAGAAGCCGCGTACAGACCTTTTCTTTGCGTAAATCTTTGATAAAAATTTGACTACATTGTTCAAGTTTCTTGATGTTTTATTGATTGTAAATGGTTTTTGGACGGCGCACACTGATATCAATTTTCAGCGGTTCAAAGTCTATCACTTTGAAAAAGTTAAAGTTGAAAATTAAAAAAAGTTAAAGAAATTAAAAGACTGTCCGAAACACTATAATCCAATATATGTAGTTATTTGTCTTTCTAGATAGCTGATCGAATGTGTAAGAAATTAAGTTTTTCATAGATAAAGTAAACTGGCTATAATCTAGAACGCAAGCAAAGCAACTAATGTGAGATTATTTTCATAAACTTACTAGCATTAAATTTGTACATTGATGAATAATATGTTAATACAATTAATTAAATTTATTTAACAAACATTAAGTTAATGCGGTATAACTCAAATATCTTTATGAATCGTATCACTGTCACCGCAATTAGAATCTACCATTTCTTTTTTTCCCAATTCATTTATTTTTTTATCTATTTATTTAATAAA